ATGTAATTGAAATTGAAGCTACTAAATAAACGAGAGTTTCCAAAACACAAAGCTCTCGTGCCGATGCTGCAGCAGCTGTGACTCACAGGGAGCAAAAGGAGAGCGCTGCTGTGAGCTTTGGGTTCTGCTGTCATTGCCTCCCCCTGGAAGATGGAAATAACAAAATAAAGCGTTGTGGGAGCGCCGTGCCTTTCTGGGAGTTGTAGCTCATTCTTCGGAGCCGCCGCGTCGCCCCGTTGACTCCCATCGCTGCGTGACGCAGGGAATGTGGAATAACGAGGAAAAAACCACGAAACCGCGACGGCTGCGCTGCCGCGGCCGGGGCCGAACGGAGAGGGGTGAGTGCGGGCACCGAGGAGCCGCCCCGCGAGCAGCCCCGGTGCCGGCGGCGCCCCGCAGCGCTGCATCCCCCAGCGGAGTGCCCGGGAAGCGCCCGGCACCCCGGAGCCCCCCGGGAGCTCGGCCCGGGCGCGGGGCGCGGGCGGAGCCGGCAGGGCGGGCGGCGACCCCCGGGGCCGCGCGGCGCGGAGGAGCTCGGCTGGGGGATGCAGCGCTGCGGGAGCGCAGGGAGGGCCGGGCGGCTCCGGGGAGGGGGGGGTGCGGGTGTCCCCCGACGACGCCTCACGCCCCGCCGCTCCCCCGCAAAGCCCTTTTCGCAGCCGGAGCCGAAGGGCCGCGGGGCGCGGGACGACGAAGGGCCGCTGGTCGGGAAGAGCGGCGGCGGGAGGAGCGCGACGGGGAACAGCATCCTGGGGCGGGCGGCCTTCGAGTCGCGGCTGTCCACGCGCGCGGTGACGCGGAGGAGCGAGCGGCAGAGTTACGGTTACCGCGTGCACGTGGTGGACACGCCGGATGCCTTCGACTCGCCGGAGCGCAGCGCCCGGTGCCTCCGCGAGGTCGCCCGCTGCGCGCTGCTGTCGGCTCCGGGGCCGCACGCGCTGCTGCTGGTGACGCAGCTGGGCCGCTTCACGCAGGAGGACGAGGCGGCCGTCCGGCAAGTGTGGCGGCTGTTCGGGCGCGGCGCCGCTGAGCGCACCGTCGTGGTTTTCACGCGCGGGGACGAGCTGACGGGCGGCTGCCTTGTGCGGCACGTGAAGGACACCGGCACCGCCGCGCTGCGGGAGCTGCTGCGCCCGCTACCGGAACGAGCTGTACGACCGCACGGTGCTGGGAGTGCAAGGAGTGTCTGAGTAGCGAGAGCAGCGCCCAGAGCACAGGAGCAGCACCCACGGGATGGGAACTGCATGCACAAGGTGGGAACAGTGCCCACGGGGGTGGGAACTTCACACATGGGATAGGAACAGCACCCACAGGACAAGAGCAGCATCCAGGGGACAGGAACAGCACACATCGGGTGGGAACAGCACCCATGGGATGGAAATAGTGCCCAAGGGATGGGAACCCACAAGAAGGGACCCATCGGCAGCTCTGGTGGCAGCAGGGTGGGGATGAGGTCAATCATGGGGCCCTCACCGCTGTGGTCTGGGCACTCCCCACATCCCTGTAGGTGTTGGAGTGGGCACAGAGTTTGGGGAGATCCCCGAATGTGGCATGGAGAGAGTGGAGGATATGGGGCCAGGTGCCAGCTGGGAGCAGGGATCCCAAGGGACTCAGCCCTCCTTCCCACTGCCCTGCAGGATTTCAGGGATTCGTGCCACTTTGCTGCCATGCCTGGCCCATGCCGAAGGACCCATGGCACCTCCTGCATTCCAGGACCACGTGAATCTTGCTGCTGGTGTGTCGTGGGCTGTGAGGTGCTGCTGGTCCCAGAGGACACGTGTCCCTGGTGGGGGCCCGGGGCATCCCCACCCCCAAGGCAGGACCCAGCGGGCAGAGGTTGGGGGCAGGGGTGGGAGGAGAGTGCTGGGGCAAGTTGAGTTTACGACTGCAGCATCTGCTGGTGCTCAGGAAGTCGCTCTGCCCTGCACCTCAGCTTGCTTCTGTTTTCGACTCTGAGCTCATCCAGACGGCAGCCTCAGAAAGTGAAAGTGATCGTGCTGCATTCCTGCGGGGTGAGCCTGGGCTGAGCCACTCCCATTCCGAGAAGTCGCACGCTTAGCAGAAACCACGCAGTGGTGTTGGCACAGCTGTGCAGGGTTTGCTGCTCCGGGTGGATGCATGCCAGGGTACGGGGCTGGATGAGGGGCTAGAAAGTGTACGAAGCAGTGCTGGAGGTGACTCTGAACTGGGAGGAGCTGTTGGCTCCCTTGAGGGCAGAGAGACCTTGCAGAGAGACCCTGACTGATGGGAGGGCTGGGCAGTGCCTGACCACATGAAGGTGAACAAGAGCAAGGGCTGCGTTCTGCACCTGGGGTTTGAGAGGGGACAGCAGCTGGCTCATTCTAACCTTTCCCTTGCGATGGGTGTGGGTTGTAGTACATAATTAGCCCTTAAAGAGCCAAACGGACAATCACAGGATGCTGCCTTCTCTTCTCGTTGACACCTATGGTCCTACGGTCCCTCTTGGCCCTGCAGCTCCTCACAGGGAGCGGAAAGGCAGCGCTGAGCTCTGCTCCCTGGTGATGTTGGCAGCACCCGAGGGAACAGCATGGAGCTGTCAGGTCGGGTGGGAGTGAGGGAAAGGCTGTGCCCAGAGGGCAGTGAGCATGGAGCGGCTCCCCAGGGTAGCAGGCACAGCCCTGAGCTGCTGGGGCTCGTGGTGCTCAGCACTCTCAGACATAAGGCTGGGGTTTGGGTGATCTTCTCTGAGGCTAGGGGTTGGATCAGCTGATCCTTATGGGCCCAATATTCCAACTCAGGATATAGCCAGAATGTAGAGGCAACCTCAGGACATCGCAGTCACAGCATGCCTGGGGGCTGGAAGAGACTTCAGAGGAAATCCTGTTCCCTGTCCCGGCTGCCAACCTGATGTGGGCTGTCAACCTCCCATGGGCACACCCGTGGGTCCTCTGATGATCTGCGTTACTGCTTATTATAGCCAATCTGCCTGCGGGGGCAGCGCCACGGGGCAGAGGTGGTGCTGGTTGGGACGGTGATAACGGCGATATCGGAACCAGACTGAGCCGCTGCGTCAGTGCCGCACTTCTCACTGCCGGTCCGACGGCTCGGACTGACGGGAGGCTGCAGCGTCCGTGCCTGGAGGAGCGCAAAGAAAGGGTGAATGTCGCACGGAGCGTCACCGCGCGGGGCAGCGCCGGGAGAGAGGAGGGGGGGGAGCGGGAGGAGCCGCGATCGCTGCGCCTCCAGGCGGTGCGCGGCAGCGCGGGGTCCCGGCTGTGCCGGGCGGGGTGAGACCGGAGCTGCGGGAAGGTACGGCGGGGGGCGGGGGGGCTCCGTGCCTCCGGGAGGGGCTGCGGTGCCCGGGAGCCGAGGCAGGGGGAGAGGGGCAGGGAGCGGCTCTGTCCCTCGTCCCTTCTTCCCGTTTCCCCTTGTCCCTTTTTTCCCTGCTGCCCGTTCCCCTCTTCTCCCTTTTACACCTTTTTCTCCGTCCACTCTTTTTTCCCTTCTTCTTTTTTCCCTTTTCCCTTCTCCCCTTATCCTCCCCTCCCTACATCCCTTGTCTCCTTTCTCTGTTCCCTCTCCCCATTTTTCTGCTCCCTTTCTCCTCTCCCTGTTTCCCTTCTCCCCACTCCCCAGGCTCACAGGAGCACAGCACAGACCAGACCCCGTCCATCAGCACAGCCACAGCCCCGGCATGGGGAGACCCTCGGCACTGCATTCAGCTCCACGCCAACCCCAGCTGCACGCGTGTCACTGCCCAGAGGGGTCCGTCACCTCCCAAGGGGGTTCCTGTCACCACCCAGAGGGGTCCCTTACACCTCCTGGGGGTTCCCTGTCACCATACATAGAGGTCCCTGTCACCACACCACCGTGCCCCTGCACCCTGGGCTGTCGCCGTCCCTCTGCTCTGTGCCACCCCAGCACGTGGCGTCACGCCTCTCTTTCTCCTCTGTCCTTTCTCTGCTGCTCTCCGGGCCCTGCTGGAGCTGTCTGTGCTGCAGCATTACCGGCTGGGCAGCCGATGGAGCCCTGCACCTCCGCTTGTGTCCCTGCAGCACAACCACGGCCACTCGACGCATCCCTGTGCTGCCTGGGGACGGCAGAGGCTCCACAATGCGGCTGCTGCTGGTCGGGAAGACTGGAGGGGGGCGAAGCGCCACGGGGAACACCATCCTGGGGCGGCGCGTCTTCGAGTCCAAGCTGTCCACCACACCGGTGACCCGCAGCTGCCAGTCAGCGATTGGGCACTGGGATGGAGAAGAAATCGAGGTGGTCGACACGGCCGACATCTTCCATTCGTGGAATGGCAGCGATGAGGAGTGCAGGGAAATCACCCGCTGCATTGAGCTGTCCTCGCCCGGCCCCCACGTGCTGCTGTTGGTCACCCAGCTGGGCCGCTTCACCCAGGAGGACCAGGAGGCCGTGCAGGGCGTGCAGGACATCTTTGGAGTCGGTGTGTTCAGGCACATGGTTGTTGTGTTCACCCGGGGAGAGGAGCTGGTGGGGGGATCGCTGCGTAACTACGTGACCTACACTGACAACGCGGCTCTGCGCAGGCTGATCCAGAGCTGCCAGAATCGGTATTGCGGCATCAACAACTGGGCTTCCGGGCCAAAGCGGGACCAGCAGGTCCAGCAGCTGATGAATATGATCCGCCAAACCATGCGGGAGAATGAGGGAAGGTGCTACAGCAATGAGTTGTACCTGAATCCCTTTTTAACAGAAGAGAAAGTGAGGTATCACATGGAGAATGCAGCCAAACCATGGGGCAGGCTGCTCGACTTGTCATACAGGGGAGTCCTTTTAAAATGTGGGATAGTTCTCATTTTCATCGCTTTGATTGTCATCTGTGTCCTTATTTGGTGGAAGAGGCAATCGGATGAACCCCATAATGCACAGTCCCCCAGTATCAGAATCCCAGAACCCTGAAGCACTTGGGGCCGCAGGCACCACTCCATCCCCACCCACCGCCAACCCCCAGCACCCCCTGCCCAGGGCTGCGTCCCTTTGGCTGTTGCACCCCTGCAGGGACAGAGAGCCCACCGTCATGCAGGGCCACGAGGGGCTGTAGGGCCGTGAACTGTCAACAAGAAGTGAAGGCGAAGTGTCCTGTAAGTGTCCCTTGTGTTCCCTGTGGGTTAATTACACACTAAAACCAACACCCATCTCTGCGGAAAGGTGATCAGAATGAGCCAGCTGCTATCCCCTCCCAAATGCAGGAACCCCTTGTATGCCTGCCCAAAGATGTATCAGAATACCCAATTAGAGACTGTAGAGAGATGTAATTTTGTAAACTGTCATGTAAGGATAACTGCACTTCTGTTTGGGGCTGTGCTTGCTTTGGGAAGGATCACCAGACACCTGATTGTGACAGAAATAAAACAGAGACCTCTGTCTGCATCCCAGCTCTGTGTTTATGTCCTTTGGGCACAGACCCCATTAGGGATAACAGCTTCGTTCTTACTATTATTCAGCTCACCTCCAAGTCATGGATCCGGGCACTGAAGAGGACACTGAAGGGAATGGGAGACTGAGTTGGTGATACACACCGGGGGTGTAAGGGTGGAGCACAGCCCTATGGAAAAGGACCTGGGGACCTGGAGGGGCAGCAGCACGAGGCAGCACTGTGCCCCGTGCCAGCAAACAGCACCTTGGGTGCACCCAGAGCTGTGCGGCCAGCAGGGAGAGGGAGGGGGTCTGCACCTCTGCTCTGTGCTGGGAGACCTCACCTGGAGTGCTGTGTCTGGATGGGGAGGGCTCAGTGCAGGAGAGACGTGGAGCTGTCGGAGAACATCCAGAGGAGGGCACAAAGTGACCCCAGGGATGGGACACCTCCCTGCAAGGACAGGCTGAGAGCTGGGAGGCTGCAGGGAGGGCTGAGTGAGGCTTCAGTACCTACAGGGGCTGTAAGAGGGAAGGGGACAGAGTCTGTAGTGGGGTCTGGGTGATAGGACAAGAGGAAATGAACAAAAAAGAGCAGAGGATTAGATGGATATAAGGAAGAAGCTTTGTACAGTGAGAGCAGTGAGGCACTGAACATCTTTCAGTGAGGAGTGGTGGCGTCCCATCCCTGCAGACACCCACAGTCAGGATGGGCTCTGAGCGCTGCTGGAGCTGCGGGTGTCCCTGAGCATTGCAGGCAGTGGGACCAGATGGCCTTCAGAGCTCCCTTCCACTCAAACCACCCTGTGACTCTATGAGAAGATCTCTCCATTTTCCCTTCTGCAGTCGAACAGCCACGGGGCTCTCAGCCTTGCCTCAAAGGGCCCATTTGCTCCAAGCCCCCAACCATCTCTGCACCCTGTGCTGGGAGGGCAGAGCTCAGGGCTGTGCATTGCTGGGGCTGTGCTGCCCTGTGGGTGCCCCGAGCCAGGCAGCGCCCTGCCCCACCTGCAGACACACGTGGTGAGGCACAAGGTCCACAAACAGACTTTTCTGTAACTGCACTCAGCTCGGGGAAGTGCAGAGAACAAAAGTAAAAGCAATACTTGGCAGAGAGGACCTTGGCTCTTGCACAGAGCAGCTCCCCCTAGCACTGAACAGCCACCCGCCAGAACACCCAGAACACCCTGCATGCCCCACAGCCTCGTGCATTGTCCCTCTGCATCCCATCCGTGTGTGCCATGTGAAGAGAGAAGAGTTCGTGAAGGATCACATGGGGAGGTACAGAGCTGGCAGGGAAGGAAGGAATTCTGCCGACTTCCCCATCTGTGCCATGTCCAACACATGCTGGGGCTTCACCCCCTCCTCCCCCCCAACAGCTCCATGCCTTTCCCTTGGGCACCGTCACTGTCACCAGAGAGCAGGGCTCAGTGATGCCCCTCTACTCCCTGTGATGATCTGCAGGGCCACGGGGGTGCAGAGCCAGCACGAGGACTGACAGAAGAAAGGAGTGGACCCAATGGATGTATTGTCTCAAAAGGAGGAACTGTAGTCCACCGAGGTGAAACGCAGAAAGAGATGATCACAAATATTCAAAGAATGTGTGAAAAAGAAACTCTTCGGCCTCAGGGTGCTGCTGTCAAAAAGAAGGAAAGGGAAAATGTCCTTTGAGTGTCTGTGGTGCTCCTGAAGGGATAATTACCAACTGCAAACCACCTCCATTGCTGTGGAAGGGAGATTAGAATGAGACAGCTGCTATCCTGTCTCAAATACAGGTGTATAGCCATAATGTGCCTGCCCAGCAAAGATCAGTCAGAGGACCCAATCAGAAGCTGTAATTGGAGAAGATTTTATAAACAGCCACGTAAAGATAACAACACTCCTGTTTGGAAGTGTGTGCTTGCTTTGTTAGGGATTGCCAAGCGCCTGATTCTGTGTAGAACTAAAAAAGGATGGGGATAACAAGGCGCACAGTGTGGTGCGTGCTCTTGTTGTATTTCACGTCTCCATGCTGCCATGCTGAGCTGCGGCAGTGCCCAGCCCCACCTGAAGGCACACAGGGTGAGGCTGAAGGCTGCACAGAATCCTATTCCTGTAAACGCACCGCATTCCAGGCACTGCAGAAAACGAAACTGAGAGCGCAGGGAGGCAGAGCCTCAGCTCTGCACCAAGGATCCTCACACTGAAGAACCGATTTCAGAGATTTACAGAATCATGGAGTTGTTTGAGTTGGAAGGGACCCTTAAAAGTCATCTGGTCCCACTCCCTGCGATGCACAGGGACACCCACAGCTCCATCAGCGCTCACAGCCCATCCCCCTAACTGCAGGGATGGGGCACCACCACCTCTCACTGCAACCTGTGCAGCATCTCACCACCCTTAGTGTATGAATTTCTTCCTTATATCAATTGAAATCTCCCCTCTTTTAGATTGAAGCCATTTCCCCTTGTCCTACCATACTGATCCTCCTATAGAATCAGTCTCCTTCCTTCTTACAGCCCCTTCAGATACTGAAGGCTGCTCTCAGCCCCCCCTGCAGCCTTCCCTTCTCCAGCTGCACAGCCCCAGCTCTCAGCCTGTCCTCATCAGGAGGTGTAGGGAGGCGGATCACTGCTCAGCCTCTGCAGGTCCCTCTGATGGCGTCCCATCCCTCAGGTGCATCCATTGCACCGCACAGCTCGCTGTCACCCACACTGTGAGGGTGCACTCAGTGCACTGCTGACTGATGGAGATGGGAAAGAGCACAGATCCCAGCCCTGAGGGACACCGCTGTCACTGCTCTCCATCCGGACGTGGAGCTGCTGACCGCAGCTCTGGGTACATCTCACAGCAGTGCCTCATCCACTGAAAGGTCCCACCCATCAAATCCACATCTTTCCCACCTGGAGAGAAGGATGCTGTGGGAGACTGCGTCAAAGGCCTCACTGAAATCCAGAGGAGTGATGCCTGCAGCTCTTCCCTCATCCACTGCCACAGTGACGCCATCACAGAAGGCCACGGGTTGGCAGACAGGCCCTGCCCTTGGTGAAGCCGTGCTGGCTGTGCCGTGCCACCCCTTCTTCCATGTGCCACAGCACAGCTTCCAGGAGGAGCTGCTCCATGATCTTCCCCAGCACAGAGGTGAGACTAACAGGCCGGTGGTTCTCTGTGTCATTCTTTCTATCCCTCTTAAAAATGGGTGTGATGTGCCCTTTATTCCAGTCACCAGGGTCTTCAACTGGCCACCAAAATCTTTCAAATACCACTGAGCATGGCTTGGTGACTACATCTGCCAGTTCCCTCAGGACCCTGGGATGCATTTCATAGAGACAACAGACCTGTAGATGTTCAGGTTCCTCAGGTGGACACGGACCTGTTTTTTGCTTACAGCAGGAGAGCCATTGCTTCTTCAGTCCCATCAGCTAGATCGATGTGTGAAGAGCAGTCACCAGCGGAGGCTGAGGCAAAAAGGTTGTTCAGCACCTCAGCCTTCTCTTCGTCTGTTGTTACCAGCCTGCCTGCATTGCTCACTGGGGGGAGAATACCCTTTTGCACATTCCTTTCTGATTGATGCATCTGTAGAAGCTGTTCTTGTTCTTCTCTGTGCCCCTTGCCAAGTCCAGTTGGGCCTTGGCCTCCTTGACCCCAGCCCTACACAGCCCAACAGCATCCCTGTACTCCTCCCAGGCTTCTACTTCCTGTGCATGTTCTTCTTGCTCTCAAGTTTGACAAGCAGCTCCTGGCTCAGCCATGCAGGTCTCTTGCCTTCCTTTCCTGACTTTCTACACCTCGGGATGAAGAGCTCCTGCACCCTGAGGAAAGCTTTCTTAAAGATCTGCCAGCTCTGCTCTGCTCCCTTGATCTCGAGGACAGATTCCCAGTGGGGGTTGTTGACAAATTCCCTGCAGAACTGGAATTTGGCTTTCCTAAAATCAAGCTTCCTGGTTTTACTCCTTGTCTGTACAATATCTCTCAGGAGTGTGAACTTCACCATTGCTGCCTTTGAGAAACAGCCATGAGCAGGTTGAGAGCTTGTGGATAAAACTGAGGGACCGAACTAACAAAGGACATCTGGTGGTTGGTTACGGGAAAAAATAAATAAAGCAGAAAACAGAGCTGTGCTACTGAAACAGGATATTTGATAACTTTTAGAATCGTGGAATGGTGTGGGATGGATGGCAGCTTAAAGACAAGCCAGCCCCACCCATGGCCACAACCTTATCCATGGCCCTGGGCACCATGGGGATGGAGCACCGCAGCTCTGGGCAGCAGTGCCACTGCCTCACCGCCCTCATAAGGAAGAATTTATTCCTGATGTCTGATCTAAACATACAGTCTGATAGCTTAGAGCTGTTCCCCCTTGTCCTATCACTTAACTCCCTGACAAAGAGTCCCTCCCTGTTCTGCAGCCCTTTAATGAACTGGAAGGCCACAATGAGGTCTACCCAGACTCTTCTCTTCCCCAGGCTGAACACCCCCAACTCTCAACCTGTCTCCATAGCAGAGGTGCTACGGAGTGCTCCAAACTCTGAGCATAATGCCAGCTTGTGTTCAGTATTTAAACCAAGAGCCCCAAGTCCTTCTCATGGTTGCTCTCAATCCACCCACTGCCCAGCCTGCCTCTGTGCTTGGGATTGCCCTGACCAAGGTGCAGCACTACGCGCCAGGCCTGGTTGAACCACAGGCAGTTCACAACACACCACTCTCAGCTCTCCCCAGGTCCCTCGGAATGGCATCCCTTCCTTCCATCAGTCACACCAGGCAGTTTGGTGTCATCAGAAATCACGGACCTGTGAAGAAAAGTACAATCGTGTGAAGACACAAAACCTACATAAGGACAGACAGATAATAACAGTGGATTGTTGCCCTCTATTCTGCCCTCGTGGGACCCAACCTGCAAATCTGTATCCAGATCTGGGACCCCCAAAACAAGAAAGATGTGGAGTGGGTCCAGAGGAGGCCATAAAGAAGTTGGAGCACCTCTCCTAGAAAGGCAGACTGAGGGAGCAAGGGGGGTTCAGCCTGGAGAAGACTGCAGG